TCGTAGATCGAGTGAGAAACTTTTATTGCGCCCCCGATCCACCTGTCGAGTTACGAGAATCGATTTTATGACGTATTGACAATGCTCTTGCGTGTTGAGCCGACTGAACGTTACCCGATTTATTGCTCGTAATGAATGATTCGCCGAAATAATATCGCGATCACTCTTTCTCGTCTAACCTGAACGAATAACTCTTTCGTCGTCTGTTTTATCGTTCTTTCTGCGTGTGATCGACGATCGTACGATTTGGAACTTTTAAGGGGAATTTATTGGTTTAGTCATTTATCTTTTGGGAAATTATCGATATGTATGTCTTGTACTGTCTAAATTACTGACGACGCACGTGGTGCGTCTTCTATTGTCAATATTGTTGATGACGCATGTGGTGCGTTTTGTATTATCATTGATATTGACGACGCACCGGGTGCGTCTTGTACTGTCAAAATTACTAATGACGCACCTGGAGCGTCTTCTACTGTGAGCGTAGTCGATGACGCACCTGTTGCGTCTTGACTGTGAACACAGCTGATGACGCACCTGGTGTGTCTTGTACTGTGAATGTAACTGACGACGCACCTGTTGCGCCTTTTACTATGAACACAGCTGATGACGCAGCTGATGTGTCTTGTGCTGTGAGTGTAACTGATCACACACACGTTGCGTCTTTGACTGTGAACACAGCTGATGACGCACCTGGTGTGTCTTGTACTGTGAGTGTAACTGATGACACATCCGTTGCGTCTTTGACTAAGAACACAGCTGATGACGCACCTGGTGTGTCTTGTACTGTGAATGTAACTGATGACGCACCTGTTGCGCCTTTTACTATGAACACAGCTGATGACGCACCTGGTGTGTCTTGTGCTGTGAGTGTAACTTATGACGTACCTGTTGCGTCTTCTACTGTGAACACAGCTGATGACGCACCCGGTGTGTCTTGTACTGTGAGTGTAACTTATGACGCACCTGTTGCGTCTTCTACTGTAAGTATAGCTGATGACGCACCTGGTGCGTCTTATCCTGTGAGTGCAGCCAGTGACGCACCTGGTGCGTCTTATACTATTTAAATTACTAATGACGCACGTAATGCGTTTTGTAATGTAAAAGTAAGTTGTGACGCACCATATGAGTCGGAGATTATCCACAATGCAGAAAAACTTTCTATAGAAACGTATTTTTTAATCAAACCAGTTTATTTCCATAAAACCGTCTGAAATTCAACAAATTGAAAATTAAATCATAACTACAATTCCGTAGAATGGCATTGTTTCATTTTTCTGCATTTAAATGTTCCATTTTCATAGCTCGCATACGCAGTTAATACAATAAGCACAATGAATATTTGAAAAATTGAGAAATTAAATTACGACTGTATTATTCAGCACACCATTATTTTCATCTTTCTGTTTAAGCGTAACGTTTTCGTAGGTAGCGCAATATTAAATTTATTTAATATTTATTTGTGACGCTTTCCCTTATGACATTTATATTTTTACATTTATGTTTATGTATTTGTATTTTTTTGTTTATTTTGAAAAGTGAAGGTTAGTCGTCTTCCATTAATTTGTAAATTAGATAATAAATATTATTAAACAGGACTGAGTAATATATTTATTATGAAATTGTTGATAATCATATTAAATAAAATAACTAAATAAAATGTAAAATAAATTGAAATAATAAAATATAAAATAAATTAAAGTAATAAAATACAAATTAAATTGAAATAATAAAATATAACCTTGAAGTAATAAAACAGAAAAAAAAAATAATAAAATAAATCTAGTAGAATATAAAATAAATTAATTTCATGCGGAGTAAAATCTAACTCAAAAAATATACATTTCAAAAAACATTGTTGTCGCATAAAATAAAACTCGTTAAAGGAACAGAACATTAATTTGAAACAACCTTGACACCAGCAAATGCAGATGCAGTGACATTCTAATGATCCTCTCGACCTCTTTCCATCTTAGTTTATTCGTATTTCTTTTTTTCAATTCAAGTACCTTTTCAAATTCATTTTCGAATTAAACTGGGACACCTATACAACGATGTGCATCGGACAGCTTTAGAATGCAAAGAAAGATATCGGATTTGAGAAGAGTTCATTAGAGACGTCACATTCAAACAAGAACCCTACGAATACTTATATTCTTTCAAATGCAATCGTCGATGTTTTGCTACAAAATACTAAAAAAATTGTTTTGCAATTCTATTCGTCATTTAAATTGTTTGAAAGCGTTTTTAGTTGCAAGTTTGTAAATTCTTGTTGTGTAGTTTTATATAAAAGTTTTGAAATTTTTATGTTCGGAAGGTTTTGATATTTTAAATTATTAAACTCTCGAATTGACAAATTTTCAAATTCTCAAGTTCCCTCATTTTTAAGATATCAAAGTTTCGAGTATTGAAATTTACTAATTTACAAATTTTCTAAATTTCCAAAATTTATATACTGTCAACTTGCCAAATCGTGGAACTGTCAAATTGTGGAATTGTCAAATCGTGGAATTGTCAAATAGTGGAATTGTCACACTGTGGAATTATCAAATCGTGGAATTGTAACATTGTGGAAATGTCACACTATGGAATTATCAAATTGTGGAATTGTGGAATTGCCACACTGTGGAATTGTGGAATTGTCACGCTATGGAATTATGGAATTGTCAAATCACGGAATTGTCACATTGTGGAATTGTCAAATCACGGAATTGTCACACCGTGGAATTGTCAAATCGTGGAATTGTCGCACTGTGGAATTGTCAAGTCATGGAATTGTCACACTGTGGAATTGTTAAATCGTGGAATTGTCAAATCGTGGAATTGTCAAACTGTGGAATTGTCAAATCGTGGAATTGTCAAATCGTGGAATTGTCAAACTGTGGAATTGTCACAGCGTGGAATTGTCAAATCGTGGAATTGTCCCATTGTAGAATTGTCACATTGTGGAATTGTCCCATTGTAGAATTGTCACATTGTGGAATTGTCAAATCATGGAATTGTCACATTGTGGAATTGTCAAATCATGGAATTGTCACATTGTGGAATTGTCAAATCATGGAATTGTCAAATTGTCAAATTGCCAAATTGTGAAGTTGTTAAATTGTCAAATTGTGGAATTGTGGGATTGTCAAATTGTCAAATTATGAAACTGTGAAATTATCAAATTCTCAAATTCTCAAATTGTCCAATTATCAAATTCCTAAATTGTCAAACGTCGAAATTCGTCACAAACCTCCATCTTCCACATCGACCCATTTCAACTACCTAAACTTCTACTCCACTTACTCCATCACACGTCGACATAACTCCACAAACCCCCATTCTATAGTACTCATTTCACCGCATATATCTGCACGTACATACACTTTTACACAAATGAAGCACCCATGTACTATCATAACCATGATCCATCATCCTTCCACCTAATTTCTAACCAATTTCTGCAACAATACCCATACACAATGATCGATAGAAATAGGAGCATCATTTCTCACGAAATTAATGCACCATTCTTCCCGATTCCCCTTTTCATCGGTTCTCTTTCTTCATAGTACTCGACGATCCATTCGATCGCGAGCCAATCGAGGATCCCCGTGATTTCGATTCGAGTAGCCTTTAGAATGATTCTTTACGAGACGCTGAGGCGGGACGATTGTAGCAATTAGTGCTTAATTGCCGTTGCTTCGAGCCGTTGAAAACCTTCGGAACCTCCAACGACCCTCGAACGTTCTTTCCTTTTCTTCCAGTTCGATCTCGGTTGCAGTTTCCGCGTCCATTTATCATTCACAATGAGACGTATTTCCGCAAATGCTACAAAACCGAAATCACTTAAAATTTTAATAAATCCACAGCTTTGCCGAAATAATTATTTGAACGCGGCCCTTTGCTGTTTTAATCACTCTCCTTTGTGATTAAAGGACATCCTTGCGGACCTCGAGATTGCTTTTAATCGCTGATGAGAATCGACGAAGCATTCACCGTCAAAGAAATAGGGTTTCATCGGCTTTTTCACGGACAAAGAATCCCTGGTTTTCAAATATTAATTATTCTGCTGGGGAAAGCTTGTTTTTCGCTGTTTTGAGGTTATGCCAATTTTACGACATTTGAGACATATTTTATTGTCAGCTTTCTATGTTAATTATTCTACAGATTATTAATTATTCTTTGGTAGAGATGTAATTTTATTTTTCGTTCGTTTGAGGTTATGGCAATTTTACATTACGTAGGTCAGTGAAGGACATTTGAGAAATATTTTACAGTAACATAATTGTCAGTGTTTTGAAATATTAATTATTCTGAGGACGTAGAGATAGAAAGTGTAATCTTGTTTTTCGTTATTGTTAAAGTTAGGTTATGGCAATTTTATGTTGCAGAAGATGTTAATTGTAGAATATTTGAGAGACATTTTGTCATAAGCATTCTAAAATATTAATTATTATTCATGGATGCAGAAGTAGAAAATGCAATTTTGTTTTTTATTGTTCGTTTGAGGTTATGGCAATTTTACATTACTTAGGTCAGTGAAGGACATTTGAAAAGTATTTTATTTTAACATAATTGTCAGTGTTTTGAAATATTAATTTTTCTGAAGACGTTCAGATAAAAAATATAATTTCGTTCTTCGTTATTGTTCATTTGAGGTTATGGCAATTTTACATCACGTCAGTAAAAGACACTAGCTGTGTCTCATTTAAAAAGTACATTATTGCCACATAATCTTCAACATTATTCCCCAGATGTGAAAATAAAAAATGTAATTTTCGTTATTATATTTGAGGTTATGTCTTACACCACTCATATCACTAAAAGACACAGTGGAACATTAAAAAGTACCTCACTATAATTGTTCAAAACATGACAATGTTTCACAAAAGTAACATTACAAATTAAATAACAAATAATGAGGAAAGAGATTCTTTAAAATGATTGATGTTACAAATTGTTAAAATGTATGTACAAGAAGGTGCAATTTTCTTTAGAATGTTGTTCCGTTCCAGAGCTGAATTCCACGTCTCCGTCAACAGGCGAGTTCGGTGAATTCGTCGAAGACGTCGAGAACGACGAATTAACCAAAGACAGAGACGACGACGAGGATGCAGTCGAAGACATCCTTTACATGCGGGGTGCATCCTTTACGATACATCTGGATCCCCCGGCAGAGAATTCGACCACGAATTCCACCAAGATTAACGAGGAGAACAGTGCTCCTGTTGATCGAATCGAACCACGAGCCACGTCTCAGGTACGTGATCAATTATTTCATTTGTCAATCAGGTTCACATTTCTACATTCCCAAATTATTATGATTATACGTTTGAGAATTTGGTACTTAAATTATTGAAAATTTGGTAATTGAAGGTTTAATAAATTACAAATTTTTGTACGTTTTATACTATCAAAATTAATATTGACGCACCTGGTGCGTCTTGTACTTTCAAAATTATTGATGACACATCTGGTGCGTTTTGTATTAACAAAATAAATATGGACGCACTTGGTGCGTCTTGTACCGTAAAATTTGATGACGCATTTGATGCGTTCCACATTGCCAAAATGTTGATGACGCACCTGATGCGTCTTGTTCAAACAGTACCTGATGACACACCTGGTGCGTCTCATATTATACTACCACAGTTATTATTGACACAATAAGTGCGTTTTGTACTATAAAAATTATTAATGACGCACCTGGTGCGTCTCATATTATACTACCACAGTTATTATTGACACAATAAGTGCGTCTTGTACTATCAAAATTATCATGACGCACCTGGTGCGTTTCATACTTTCAAAATTATTGATGACGCACCTGGTGCGTTTTGTACTATAAAAATTTCTATTGACGCACCTGGTGCGTCTTATATTGTCAAATTTGACGATGACACACTTGATGCGTCCTACATAGACAAAATGTTGCTGACACACCTGGTGCGTCTTGTTCTCAGAGTACCTAATGACACACCTGGTGCGTCTTGTCGTCAGAATACCTGATGACACACCTGGTGCGTCTTGTTTCCAGAGTACCTAATGACACACCTGGTGCGTCTTGTTCTCAGAGTACCTGATGACACACCTGGTGCGTCCTGTTCATCTAATGACGCACCTTGTGCGTTTCATATTATACTACCAAAGTTATTATTGACACAATAAGTGCTTTTGTACAGTAATCGCAATACAAATTTTCACAGTAAATTAAAATCTGTTACATAAAAATCCGAAGCACGAAATTAAAAAAAAATATATATATTCGAACGAAAATATTATTTGAGGTAAAACGAAAAGTAATTTAATATAATCCTTCGATAGAAGTAAAATTGTCAATTAATTCGGTGAAATTGTATGGAACAGAATATTATGCACTTTCGGTAACTACATATGTATAAATGTATATTACACACGCGGTAACGTATTCAGCCGTTACTAGTTTCGAAAATAAAATTCTCCATCCGAACAATGGGCAACAGGATGAATTTTCATCGAAGCGAATAGGCGAGTGCCGGAAAGGTTCGAGCAGATTGCGGAATCGGGAAAAAAACCTGAAAAAACATGCAGTTCCTATTCATGCCGTGATATACGAATTCTGAAATCGCAGTCGAAGCTACGACCGGCATAGAAGTTCGACAATTTTTCAATTATTTCCACAAGTTTCGAATCGTACGATATACCTATTCGGTAATAGAAGCAAAAAAAAGGAAAGAACAGCGTAGCGATTGTTGCCGAAAGGCAAACGAACAAGCGTGATCTAAATTTGGAATGGTATCGAATTTGTTTGACGAAAAAATAGTTTCCGCTTTGCGAATTTGAAAGATTTTTTATTTGGAAAAAGGAGGTAAATGTTATTGCAAATAATGTGATATGGTATTAATAAATGAAACAATGCTGTTTGATCGCATTAAATTTAACTTTATTGATATAGCTTTATTTTCGACAAATCTCTGGCAATATTTTATTATTTACGCTGCGTATACGTTGAAGCGTTTAATAATATTACTCGATGATTAATTGAAATTGTTCTTTATGAGATGAGTGATTAACACAAATATTTTATGCGTTCGCCCGAAATGACTGGTGTGATGACAAACGCGATAAAAAATAAATCAAATGGTGACATATTGACGACGCACTTTGTGCGTCTTATACTGTCAAAATGATTGATGACGCACCTGATGTGTCTTATACTGTCATTTTTATTGATGACGCACCTGCTGCGTCATACTGTCAGTTTTATTGATGACGCACCTGGTGTGTCTTATACTGTCAAAATTATTGATGACGCACCTGGTGTGTCTTATACTGTAAAAATTATTAATGACGCACCTGATGCGTTTGGTACTGTCAAAATTATTAATGACGCACCGGGTGCGTTTTGTACTGTCAAAATTATTAATGACGCACCTGGTGTGTCTTATATTGTCAAAATTATTGGTGACGCACATGTTACGTTTTTTACTATAAATTTGACGATGACGCACCCTATGCGTCTTGTACTGTTAAAATAACACACTGTTAAAAAACTATAATAGATTTGCACATAATTTAATAAACCAATGAATAATAATCCTCGACTAATAGATTGAAAGCTCTCAGAACGTTAAAAACCCTTCGTTTCCGTATGACATGCTCATCCTGCGCCCTTATCCGAGGGATCGTCCGGCTAAAAATATCACGAAGCGTGCAACAGGTCCCTTCACACGAACCCCTATTCCCCTCCAGTTTTCACCCCACAATTTTCCCCGAATCTTCGATAACTCTAACAAGATCAACTAATTAACGTTGATTAATCCTCCGTTGTAGGGTCCCAATTTGGAGCAAAAATTACCGTCGACGATGGAGAGTATCGTCAGTACGGAACCGGCTTGTTCGTTGGATTGTGGACCAGCAGGAAACTGCTACATCGAGCAGTCCCGAGGGGATGACGTTGATCTGCTCGACGAGGATGCTGAAAATGTAGCGGAGGACGCATCGATGTCTATGGATCTCGAAGGAAACGACGTGACTCCCAGACGGAAGGAGTCCTTTAGGCAACGGTGCCAGTGTCCCTTAGGAAGAGGCGGTGATCGATGTCAACTTGGTGAGTGATTTTCGCTTGTGTCCTGTTTTATTATACTCCTTATACTATCAGTTATTGATGACGCAACGTATGCGTCTTATAGTATCAAGGTTCTTTATGACGCAACATATGCGTCTTATAATATCAAGGTTCTTTATGACAGAACGTATGCCTCTTGTAATTTCAAGGTTCTTTATGACACAACGTATGCCTCTTATAATTTCAAGGTTCTTTATGACACAACGTATGCATCTTATAATTTCAAGGTTCTTTATGACGCAACATATACGTCTTATAATATCAAGGTTCTTCATGACGCAACGTATGCGTCTGATAACATCAAGGTTCTTTATGACACAACGTATGCATTTTTATAATTTCAAGGTTCTTTATGACGCAACATATGCGTCTTATAACATCAAGGTTCTTTATGACGCAACGTATGTGTCTTATAACGTCAAGGTTCTTCATGACGCAAGATATGCGTCTTATAATATCAAGGTTCTTTATGACACAACGTATGCATCTTATAATTTCAAAGTTCTTTATGACGCAACATATGCGTCTTATAATATCAAGGTTCTTTATGACAGAACGTATGCCTCTTGTAATTTCAAGGTTCTTTATGACACAACGTATGCCTCTTATAATTTCAAGGTTCTTTATGACACAACGTATGCATCTTATAATATCAAGATTCTTTATGACGCATCGTATGCGTCTTATAGTATCAAGGTTCTTTATGACACAACGTATGCGTCTTATAATATCAATGTTTTTCATATGCGTCATAGTTATTGATGACACAACTCATGCGTCTAATACTATCAATTATTAACGACGCACCTGATGCGTCTTGCACTATTAGTTGCTGACGCACCTGATGCGTCTTATGTGAATTGCTAGTGACGCACCTGATGCGTCATATGTAAATTGCTAGTTGACGCACCTGATGCGTCATATGTAAATTGCTAGTTGACGCACCTGATGCGTCTTATGTAAATTGCTAGTGACGCACCTGATGCGTCCTACATTTTAAATTGCTGCTGACACCACACCTAGTGCGTTTTGTACTACTACTGTAGTTATTAATGAAGCACCTGGTGCGTGTTGTACTACAAGTGTTATTGACGACGCACCTGATGCGTCTTGTACTACCAAAGTTATAGACGACGCACCTGGTGCGTCTTGTATTCTAAGTGGCTGATGATATTGTGAGTTGCAGTTTTGTACTACTACTATAGGTATTGATGACGCACCTAATGCGTCTTGTACTATTGGGAACTGATGACGCACCTGATGCGTCTTGGATTGTAAGATGCTTATGACGCACCTGATGCGTTTTGCATTGTTAGGTACTAATGTTGTACGTCGTGAGTCCTATACTACCAATGTTATTGACGACGCACCTGATGCGTCTTCCGCTACCAAAGTTATTAACGACGCACCCGATGCGTCTTATATTACATATAGTATAACTAATTATTGATGACAAATAATCGAATTTCTAAATATAACAATTTATTTCACTATTGTCATCCAAACAAATTTCTCTGAATGCATTAATATCGCACCGTTAAATCTAAATAATTAAAAATAGTTTCAAAGAGATTTTTCCTTTCATTTCTTCTAATTCTAACAGTAATCTACTGTCCGATAAAAGACCACTGAAACGGAGTTAACCGTACCGGGATCACCGAGCAAGATTCTAATTGCACGATGGCCTCTTGCTAAATTAAATTGTGTCACACGCTGTACTTCGACAGCACAGGCGAGTAATGGCGCTAAGATCAAAGTGTTCTAACCCTTGCTGACCCGCTGAACGGAGTTTGCAGTTCGCAGACTCGCACGGTGACGCAAAATCACGTGTCACGTACTGCACATCCGGTCGATACACTGATTTATGGCCGTGATGAACTGTGCTTTAAATCTCAGAACGTACGTCAAACAATTTTATTCGATTCGTTTCAATAATTCGTGCGGAGAGCGAATTACTGCCGGTAATAAAACGAAAATTATTCGGTTCATTGTTTTAATCACTGATTAGTATCAATTTTAATTATCGAGCTTTCTATTATTATTATTATTGCAATTCTCATTTCATCCGCAGATACGAAGTTCCAGTATTAAATAAATTAAAATCCATTCATTAATTCACGAAGGCATAAACATTCACAGTTAACTGATTAAAAGAGAGAATCCAAAGCTCATTTTTACTGTTGATGGTTCCACTATTAAATAAATTAGAATACATTTAGCTATTTATAAATGTATAAACATAAACACTCACAATGGTCAAATAATTAAAAGAGAAAATTCAAGACAGATTATTTTGACTGCTGACATAAAGTAGTTCCACTGTTGAATAAATTGGAAGGCATTAATTAACTTATTAATACATAATGAACCGTCGACGATGATTTCTACTGTCGATACCATTTATGACGCACTTGATGCGTCTTCCATTGTACGTTGCTGATGACGCACCTGGTTCATTTAGAACTACTGCTATAGTTATTGATGACGCACCTAGTGCGTCTTATACTACCATTGTTATAAACGACGCATCTGGTGCGTCTTGCATTGTTAGCTGCTAATGACGCACCTAGTGCGTCTTGTACTACTGCTATGGTTATTGATGACGCACCTCATGCGTCTTTCACTACCAAAGTTATTGACGACGCACTCGATGCGTCTTGTACTGCTAGTGTTATGGACGACGCACCTGGTGTGTCTTGCATTGTTAGCTGCTAATGACGCACCTAGTGTGTCTTGTACTACTACTATGGTTATTGATGACGCACCTCATGCGTCTTTCACTACCAAAATTATTGACGACGCACTCGATGCGTCTTGTACTGCTAGTGTCATAAACGACGCACCTGGTGCGTCTTGCATTGTTAATTGCTGATAACGCACCTAGTGCGTCTTGTACTACTGCTATGGTTATTGATGACACACCTGATGCGTCTTTCACTACCAAAGTTATTGACGACGCACTCGATGCGTCTTGTACTGCTAGTGTTATAAACGACGCACCTGGTGCGTCTTGCATTGTTAGTTGCTGATGACGCACCTAGTGCGTTTTGTACTAGCAGTGTTTTGGACGACGCACCTGGTGCGTCTTGCATTGTAAGTACTGATGACGCACATAGTCCATCTTGTACCTATGCTTATCGACGACGCACCATATGCGTCTTGCATTGTAAGTACTGATGACGCACCTTGTGCGTCTTGTACCTATGCGTTTTGACGACGCACCATATGCGTCTTGCATAAATAATCAATACAGAAAATGCAATGCTGATCATTCATCTTCCTCTACAAAATCCACTACAAAATAAATATAAAATTCATTGCTTAATTTTAATAAATCGTATGTCAATAATCGATACAAGTCGCAAAACCGAACATCGATTTCCCAAAGAAGAAAAATCTGTGAATTTGCAGCGAAAACCGTCAACAATGTTCTTAAACGTCTCTTGTCGAAGGAGAAGGGAATAGAGTCATTCGCTGAAATTTACTCAATTTTCCTCTTCGTTCTTTTATCTAATTTCCGTCCCGAACGCTCCACGTCTCCCGGTAATGTTCTCCGTCGAACAATTTATTCCCGGACTCGCTGGTACAAATCGATCGTTGAATTATCCACGAGGAAATACGACGATCGGCCCCGGGAAATCCTAGTTCGCTTATCATTTATTTATTCGGTTGCTGGCGAAGTGGTTTTTGCGGCCGCGACCTGGGGATCAACATGAAAATGCATCGGGAAGTCGAGAAAACGGATGAGGCTTTAAGGCGGGAAAATCGGACACGGAGGGTTAACCTCGACAGAGAGGTAAGTGGAATATGGGGGACTATGGCTTTCTTCACGGTGGTGACTGTTTTCAACACGTGATTAAGTAAAGGAGTGAGAGACAGGATTTTCTGGATATAAACGGAGAGAGAAAAAGTAAGAAGAAAGTATTGGAAAGATAAGAAGAATTTGGGGAGAGCTGAAGAATTTTACAGATTTGATCATTCGGTTTTCTAATTTAGGGGGGTTGCATATGTGTGAATGTTGGGTTATGAGTTTTTGGAGGTGTTTCAAGGTTTGAGGATTAGGGGATGATAATTTGGGAAATTGAGGATTTTGGGATTTTAGGGAATTGAGAACTTGAGGTTTAGGGATTTTAGGATTTTGGAGATTGAGGGATTTGGAGATTTGGGAAATTTGCAATTTTGTAGATTTAGGGCATTTGGAGATTCGGGAGATTTGAGAGATCTGAAGACTTGTGAGATTTGCAATTTTAGAAACTTAGGGGATTTGGAAATTTAAGGATTTAAAGATTTGGGAAATTTGAGGATATTTGGAAGATTTGAAGTTTGGAGATTTGAGGGATCTGAAGACTTGTGAGATTTGCTATTTTAGAGACTTAGGGGACGTGGAGATTTAAGGATTTGAAGATTTGAGAGCTTTGAAGTTTGGAGATTTGAGGGACCTGAAGACTTGTGGGATTTGCTATTTTAGAGACTTAGGAGATGTGGAGATTTAAGGATTTGAAGATCTAGTAGGTTTAAGGGTTTGAAAATTTGAGAGATTTGATATTTGGAGGTTTAAGGATTTGAAGATTTTAGAACTTGAGAATTTCAAGGTAAGAAGTTTAGGAGGTTTGGGGATTAAGCTATCTGAAGACTTGTAACATCTGTAATTTTATTACTTTATAGGATTTTAGAATTTAAGGGTTTCAAAATAGGGACGATTTGAAGTTTGTAGATTTAAGGGATTTTGAAAATTTGAAGATTTAAGAATTTCAAGATGAGTTCAGGGGTTTTGGAGAATGAAGTCTCTGAAGACTTGTGAGATTTGCAATTTTAGAAATTTAGAGGATTTGGAGATTTAAGAGTCTGAAGACTTGTAACATTTAAAACTTGGAGGTTTATATGACTTGTTCATTTGAAGATTTAAGAATTCGAGAATTTAAGAAACTGCAAACGTGAAGATGAAAAATTTAGGTTCTCAAAAATTTGATCTTCCAGAAATT